GAGAGAGAGAGAGAGAGAGAGAGAGAGAGCTCTAAACTTTCACTGTCTTCGAGAAGACAAAAAATTATATCCAAACAAAAAAAGAGAAAATATACTCAAAACTTATGTTTATTTAAGCCATAAATCATTGACTATTTTTGACACAACACTACATTCTCTCTCCTCTTTACTTAAACTTCTGGTATTATATGTTATAAACTATAGTTTTTTGTTTTGGGGCGCGAATAGTGTCGCATCCCTGGGGCACCTGAACGGGGAGTTTGAGTCCCGACACTATACATTAAACATTGTAAAACTAGCGCAAACTTTCCACCCTGATTAAATTAAATAACATTACAATATAAATACTAAATGTTTATCGAAATATTTGCTATAAATACTCGCATCTATTATATTGTATTCGTATTGAGATATTAAATGAGAGTTTATTAGTCTCTCTCCCCCTGAAAGAGCACATTCCCGAAAGGCATGTCGTTTTGCAAAATAGACAACAGTACAGGCGCTTTGAATTTTAATTTAATCCATTACAATAGACTCTCTCTCTCTCTCTCTCTCTCTCCCCATGCAATCTCATTGACCGCTAACATAATCTCTGGAGAAACGTCTCATTCGTATATTCAAAGTCTATCTGTCTTTCAAAAACAGTTCAGTAATGCAAACGAATAGAAAGTAAGGAAGAGATAAACATAGGGTTAGTCAATGATTTATGGCTTAAATAAACATAAGTTTTGAGTATATTTTCTCTTTTTTTGTTTGGATATAATTTTTTGTCTTCTCGAAGACAGTGAAAGTTTAGAGCTCTCTCTCTCTCTCTCTCTCTTCATTTAGTACTCATATCCCTCTCCCCCCACAATTTACCCTCTCATTTATTTTGTACTCAATATCACATATATTTACTTCATTTTTATATCCCCACAAAAAAGTATATTTTATGTGTTTTTTGTATGAGTAGTAAATACTGTTTCTCATAAATATTTCTCTTAAATACTGTATTGAATTTTATGTCATATTTTTTTGTTTGCAATTGACATCGCTATAAAAATTGTGATAGATGAAATAAATTTTTGATTTTTGAAAGTAAAATAACTTTTATAAAGTTCATACAATTTTAGTGAACATATTCTCTCTCTCTCTCTCTCTCTCTCTCTCTCTCCCACAAAAATATTTCAAATTTATATCCCATACTTATAAAAGTGAATTTCAAGTGATAACTATATAATATTAAATATAAATATGAAATTAAAATTTTTAAAAGTATTTAGGATTTAAAGGAATTTTGAATAAATGTTTAATAAACAAAATCAAACTGAATATGGTAAAATCGGCTTTAATTTTTGATTTAATATTTTAGCATAAGTTTTGCATACAATATGTTTTAACTAAAACACAGCTTATTATAGATTCCGTGTACAAACTTTTTTGTGAACCAAAACTTATTGTAAAAATTATTTAATTACTGATAAACTAAATGTCATGTTATGCTCAGCCATTAGTGATGAAAAGGGTTTTACACACAATACATATGATTAATATATAATTTGCAATCAATTTAATACGAAAATAAAATTTATATTTTACAAGCGAATGGAGAGAGAGAGAGAGAGAGAGAGAGAGAGAGAGAGTAATAATTTTTACAATAAGTTTTGGTTCACAAAAAAGTTTGTACACGGAATCTATAATAAGCTGTGTTTTAGTTAAAACATATTGTATGCAAAACTTATGCTAAAATATTAAATCAAAAATTAAAGCCTATTTTACCATATTCAGTTTGATTTTGTTTAGTAAACATTTATTCAAAATTCCTTTAAATCCTAAATACTTTTAAAAATTTTAATTTAATATTATATAGTTATCACTTGAAATTCACTTTTATAAGTATGGGATATAAATTTGAAATATTTTTATGTGGGAGAGAGAGAGAGAGAGAGAGAGAGAGAGAGAGAGAAAGTGAGTTTTACCATAAAATATTCAAATTTATTCACAAACAATACCACAGATTATCGAGGAAACGCAAATTTCAAATCTTTCTGACTTGGTTAAAAAACCCAATTTTATTAGCGAGTGATCCACTTATTGAATATTCTGCGGATGCGGTGCCGAGAAATTCACTGCAAACCAAACCATACATTCATTCTCTATATATTTTTCTTCACATCAGTTGTGGAAATCGTCTGAAAAGCCAAAAGTGTTTTCGGCGGAGAAATAAACGAATCATTTATTAAATATTTGAATGAATGATAAAGAAGAAGATGGAGAGAGAAAGAGAGAGAGAGAGAGAGAGAGAGAGAGAGAGAGATATGCTCACTAAAATTGTATGAACTTTATAAAAGTTATTTTACTTTCAAAAATCAAAAATTTATTTCATCTCTCACAATTTTTATATCGATGTCAATTGCAAACAAAAAATATGACATAAAATTCAATACACTATTTAAGAAAAATATTTATGAGAAACAGTATTTACTACTCATACAAAAAACACATAAAATATACTTTTTGTGGGGATATAAAAATGAAGTAAATATATGTGAAATTGAGTACGAAATAAATGAGAGGGATATGAGTACTAAATGGAGAGAGAGAGAGAGAGAGAGAGAGAGAGAGAGATATTTGAAACATCGCTAAAAAATCTCTGGAGAACGGAGTGAATAAATTTATGACCAAAACCTAGATAAACGCAAATTTCAAATCTTTCTGACTTGGTTAAAAAACCCAATTTTATTAGCGAGTGATCCACTTATTGAATATTCTGCGGATGCGGTGCCGAGAAATTCACTGCAAACCAAACCATACATTCATTTTCTATATATTTCTCTTCACATCAGTTGTGAAAATCGTCTGAAAAGCCAAAAAGTGTTTTCGGCAAAGAAATAAACGAATCATTTATTAAATATTTGAATGAATGATAAAGAAGAAGATGGAGAGAGAGAGAGAGAGAGAGAGAGCTCTAAACTTTCACTGTCTTCGAGAAGACAAAAAATTATATCCAAACAAAAAAAGAGAAAATATACTCAAAACTTATGTTTATTTAAGCCATAAATCATTGACTATTTCAAATATTTAATAAATGATTCGTTTATTTCTTTGCCGAAAACACTTTTTGGCTTTTCAGACGATTTTCACAACTGATGTGAAGAGAGAGAGAGAAATTTTTGTTATGGAAATCGATTTACAAGAATAGGCAAAATTGCTTATATATATTGTATATGTATTATACGTATAATATTCTAAAAGGCTGTGAAAATTTCTTTTATTTTTCATTCACGAGTCAGTAAAATAAATTATGGCGTGAAATATGATTAAGTCTATCCAATACACCATAATATACAGTGTTGTTAAGGCGTTCATTAAATACTATACACACACTCTCTCGCTATGAGTATTAAGTTTTCTCTCTTTGATCTTATATTTGAGTCTCTTTTTCTTTTATCTATTATTTAGAGAGCAAAACGATTTTTACCCCAACTTTTAATTCCAATAAAACCTATTTTCCTGTTCTCAATGTGTTTTAATTGCAGAGAGAGAGAGAGAGAGAGAGAGAGAGAGAGAGAGAGAGAGCAATAATAGTTTGTAATTACCATTAAATGTCTGCTAACTAACAGTTATATTCATTTGTATCATTGGATTCAATTGTGTTTAAAAGCTATTTGCAGCCAAAAATCTTATTTATTTAATTACTGGAAATATTTTTGCTTTACATTCTCTACTCTTTTATAAATACAAAATGAAATCTCATTTTGAATGTATTTTAATTTCATTTCTAATGCCAATCATTAAAGACTGACTTTTAATATTAATACAATTTTTGACAGAGAAATAAAGTCTGACAACAATTGTCGGCCAATAAAAGGCAAAGAAAAAGATTGACAAATATAAAAAACTTCTCAAAATATGGTTGTATTCATATTTATATAGAAATATATTTCGGATAACATATAAAATGTAATTAAATTTGCCGTACATTTCATTTCACATTTATAATAACAGGTGTATATTGTATGAAATTCAATGTAAGTTAATATTATTCCCAACTCAGCCCACTATATAAGCACTAAATTTAGGTTGTGTTAAAACCCCGACAGTATATTGTGGTAACCGTACGGCTATTCAATTGAATTTATCTTTGACTTTCTATTGATTTTGTGGAGATTTTAGACATTTTAAAATAAATTTTATTTCATCTCAAACTCAACCCATTAACCGAATAAAAGTATAGTAACTCTCTGAATATGTATTACATATTAATTAACTACAACTGAGATTTCAATTAATTATATATTTCAAAAATAAAAATATAAAATACTGAGTGTTTGGCGGATAGGCATGACGTAAGGCATCGGCAAGAAATTGAGTTTTTCATTAGGGTTTGATGTTTTAAAATAACAAAAATTTAATTTTAAAAGTCACTCAATATATTAAGTGCATCACTATATCATCTCAAGAGGTTATTTACGGCAATACAACGATGGCATTGATATATCATTGAGAAGTTTATGATATTATTTAATAATGTCTTTAATAATATCTTATTTCTCTTAAATAAATTTTGGTATTATTTAAACCTCTGTTTTTAAACCGATTCTTAAAACATATATTTATTGGATTAGGTTTTCGGAAGAGATATAAATATAATATTTTTATAATATCTATATAATAAATATTTATATATTTCTAAATGCTTTTTATATGTGAAATCTAAAGCTATTTTTACCATATTTTTCAGGATAAAAATTAAATATTAAAGGACTGAATGACTGGTTTGGCACAACTCTATGAGGAGATTGACGGCAACGGGAAAGCGTTATAATAAATGGTTTTGAATAAAAGTGTCGGCAATTCTCGGCTAAACATATGATGAATTGCCTTAAAATAATTCATATTAAATGCAATCCATTCATTAAATTACAATACATTTTATTAATCTTAATGTTGGACTTAATTGAAGGTGAGAAATGCAGTGCAATATTTATATACAAATAAATATAAATATCATAATATATTAATGCTTTCTAATGCAATGTTATTCAATACCGTTATATAGTTATAATATATGGTTTATATACATATCACTATTCATAATAATAATTATTTATTGAATACTATTCTTAGCAAATATTTTTGTCAAACAATAGGCTGTAAGTTATGGCAGATATAATGGTATATATGGATAACTAATAAATATAATATTTGATTCTCTTGCGACCCAATAGTTAAAGTAATTGAAACGTGGATTTTGTAATACATTGTATTTATGAACTAATTTAGATAATGCCGTATATTATTTATAAACACAGACTTTTGTTAGCGATTAAACAGTTTATAAATAAATGAAACAGAAAGGGCTGGGAATACACCTAAAATCCATTTTAATATATTGTATTATATAATTATAATGCACTCCACAGTTGTAACGTTATAACATTAGGTTATAATATTTATTTATTATCATAATTACATTAGTAAATAAATAAAAGCCCACCACTAGTACTACTACAACAAGTCCTTTACTAAAACAAATGCCATAATAATAATGACTATTATTATAATGGAAATTGTAATCTAAAAATACGCTCGTATTGTGATTTTTTGCTACAATTTTGCTATATTTTTACTATTTATTCTGTTTGTTATTTTAATGCAATTTTCGCATTCAATTCAATATTCAAATCGCGCCCATATATCGTGATAATAATATTTAATTAAATTTAATTATAATAAAATAATTTCATAGTATATATGGTTTTTTACATATAATATATATTATGATTATATGGTTTATATGTAAAGTATATAAATTGTCACTAATTGGCAGTGTTTGTGCTCTCATCCCAATCCCACTCTCCATCCATACAGATATAGCTCTCTCAGCGTTGAACGCAAATATTAATTCATTACAAGCCGAGCACACCAGTGAGTATAGCATGCATTTCAGACCTAGAAATTCAATTATATTTATTATATTCACATATAATTAACTGATATTATTATTTGATAAACACTGCGAAAATATGAAACAGATTTTATTTAACTTATATAATAATGCACTCATACAGTATGTATCCATATAACTATCAAAACATTTAATATTTATTGTTATTTTTCTCAACATTTTTCTGTATCAAAATGTATTCAGTACTAAAATATATATACATTTTATACATAAAAATGCAATACAATAGAAATAGTTTTAGTAATAGTTTTACATTTCAAACCAAAAATGAAATTTAAATAATAAATGACTTGAGAATATACAGTACATAAACAACACATTCAAACATATAAAAATAAATTTATCATTTTTAGTAATAATAAGCCATAAAACAATTGATTTTTCTCACATAAACGACCATGTTCAGCTCCAGTTATGTTCATCCATATAAACCTATTTACAGCATTTCCGGAACAACAGGCGGTGTTGGGCTCATCGGTGTCGCTGCCGTGCGAGATAACAGCGCCGGGAATGTCGACCGATTCCGTGACCTTAATCCTCTGGTATAGGGGGGACGACATATCGGGTGCGCCCATCTATAGCATAGACGCCAGGAGTCGGAACACACCCCTCGAAAGTGCCAAACATTTCATCGCCGACGACTACGAGGGCCGCGCAGTCTTCGACATATCCGTCCGCCCGGCGCTCCTCAAACTCGGCCCTATCGTCGACACCGACGGCGGACAGTACTGGTGTCGAGTGGACTTCCGGTGGACCCGAACCACAATCAGCAGCGTTTTGCTCAGTGTTGTCGGTATGTGTCCGCACAGTCCGGCCGTAGATCTCCTGCTTATGCAATGAGACCGACAAAGAAATCACTCATTTTTATGGCCAACAAATTTCCGTTTATTTTAGTTTTATTATTTTTTCTTCTCTCGCTTTATATACACTTTTGCTTTCTTTTCATAAATTTGTTTCTATATTAATATTTATTTTACAATTCATAACATCTCAACAATTTTGTTGTGTAGTGTATATGTGTCTCAACGGCTAAACTGTCAAATATATTGCGGAGATTGAAAATTTTGTGAACAAATTTTGTTTTTTATATAAAATTTTAGGCTTTTTATTTGTTAAAATAGAAGAAATCTCTCTCTCTCTCTCTCTCTCTCTCTCCCTCCCTCCCCCCGTAAAATAATGTGTTGTATATATATTGCATGCGTTCACAGTAGGTATGGATATAATGAGAAAATATGGTTATATTCGTGATTTCATAACAAATATAGTGAAAGTTATTTCTTCCGGAATGTAATATTCATTTCATTTCTTATCTAAAAATTTAAATTTGGATTAAATATTAAAATTTTTATTCTATTGATATAACATTTCTTAATGTTGAATACAAATTTAATTTAGATCTCATCTCTTCTAATGGTTTTAAAACAAAACCCAATGGTTTTCTCTAAAGTTAATACCAATTTATATTATAAAATAGCAATTTATATGTCTATATATAATAGTTATTTCCAGTAATTGAGTGAATAAGTCGTTCCCAAAACACAGTATTCCTCTGACGGCTAATAATATTAAAGTTAACAACAATTCAAAAGTGAATATAAAGATATAAAAACAACACTTAAATATGTTTTTAATGCTTATGTACTAAACATGTAATAAAAATCAATTGAGAGAGAGAGAGAGAGAGAGAGAGCATTGAAATTGTATGGCAAAGAAAATTTAAAATAAAAAACAAATAACACTTTTATTTATTGAAACACAAAACAACTCTCAGTTTCTCTCTTCTATTGGATAAAAACAAATGACTAAAAGATTAGTAGAGATTTGTGGCCTTAGATTTCCGCTAAAACTGCTAACAAATCAATACATAACAGGGGAGAGGGAGGGGAGAGACAGAGAGCATAGAAATGAAGTGTAAATCAAAATCAAATTCTCTCTACAATTGAAGCAAAAAAAAAGAAGAGAAAAGAAAAAAAGAATAAGAAATAATTTTAACACAAAATTGTATCAAAAGAAAAAATTTATATCCAAAACATAATATAAAATAAAAGTTAAGAAAGTGATGGAGAAATACTGTTTACTTTTATAACTATATTTCAATATTACACACAATATATATCTGAATAAATATCCAAAATGTATGGAAAAATAAGAGTCAAATTTCACAGTAAAATCTTTTCCTTTCATAATATTTAAGTCACGTTTGGTTTTGTATCACTGAATATAACTGAGAGAGAGAGAGAGAGAGAGAGAGTCTAAAACTGTTATTACCTT